GAAGTGAGAAGGAACCTCTAGGGGAGGTTCACCTGCGATAATCACTTCTCCACTTCTCCTTTCTGGTTTTTTGAGCATGCATGCACATGTCCCCAGTGTGTTTTTCGAACTGCCAGGTTTGGGACTCAAATTACAGTTGACTATGTGAAATCCAGCTTTCATAACTACCAAGTCATGAGCTGGCCCTAAGATTTTCTATTTTAAAAATTATTTCATTTCATTGTATTTGTTGTTATTATTATTATTACTAATTTGACAAGAAGGAGACAGACAGACAGACAGACAGACAGAGAGGGAAAGCTAGAGAAAGCAAGCCAGCTGCCAGATCCAGACTTGAACTGCAGTCAGCCATGTAGGAGTCCCATGCCTTCACCACCGTGCCACCTGCCAGCCCTAAGATTTTTTGGGGGGAGAGATTTTCACTATAGGGCGTGTGCGCTTGCCAGACAGATAGACAGAGATATAGAGATAGAAAGCGAGAAATCATCCCCCAGCGGGGATGGTCACGCTGCAATCCCTTCTCCTCCATTCTCCTCTCGGGATCTTGGGCACGCATGCACATGCGCCCAGCATGAGTTTTAAGCCACCAGGTCCGGGACGCGAACCGCGATCAACTACATGGGAGTCCAGCGACATAGCCATTACACTAACTGCTGGTTCCCAGATGTTTTTTTAATATAAGAAATCAATAGAAATTATCATCTGATAGTCTGTGTGACAAATCTGGTTCATAAATAAATTTTCACTGGTGTACATACTGATTTGAATTTAAAAAATGAATTGAACCACTTAAATAGCATGGATGTTACTTCCAAGTCTAGATCTCTAGCTTTTCTTGCATCATTGAAAGATTGAAAATCTTTTGAATGATATTTATCAGTCAATTGTTGACAAGTGTCTAGGGGTTATTGGTAAGTTATTTGACTGACATCAATTATTGGCATACAGGATAATTATATGCTTGACTAAATGTGTTAACTTTTTTCAAACAAACTAGTACAAATAGACATGGATATAAACTAGCCAAAAGCCAAAGTGAACTATGGAACGTGTGAGAAATCTGAGAAAGTTCTGTTACACTGGGGCCAAATTTTTTACATGACACAACTGGCTGGAGCTGAGTGGTATGAGTGGCAGGGGGCCCCCTCAGATATGATATTTATCTTTTTATGTGCCGATCCAGCCGCAACCTGGTTTGCCTTAGTTCTAATTTTCTGACAATTCCATAAAAACGTGTTTGTTTCTCCGATCAGAAAATGTGTTTGTACGTGTGCGTGTGTGTGTGTATACATATATTTTCACACATACATATACATTTTTACTTGTAAATATGCATATAGATGTTTCCATGAAATTGTGGAGAGGTTGAAGTAAAACAAAAAATATTTAAAATAAGGCATGAGAAGTTTCAAGTAGAGCAACAGAGGTTGAAAAATATTAGGGATTAAGTACCAGAGCATAATTGTTCTACTCATTGGGTGTAGGATAATTTGGTTATGAATATCAAGTGGTTTAGTGGGGCCATAAGGTTTACCTTCCTTTCCCAGTTACCTACCATCCCAGGTAAGAAAATGTGTTTCCTCCTGCTATTTTCAGTAATCCAGTCAACTCTGTCTTGATAGGTCAGCCCACCGGGGATTCTCTGTTTACCAGTCCTGAACATTCCGAGAACGGAATTCAACTACTTCACTGAGACGAGGTTTATTTTAGAAGAGCTCAGTATCTCTGAATCATTCCACATATTCCGAGACGAGATTAATCTGCACCAGCTCAATGAGGAAGGGAAGTTGTCTATAACTCTCGTGGGCAGCAGCGTGCTAGCGAGGTAAGACTCCATGGGCGGATTCAGAGCTGCGAGCCCTTCACAGAGGCTCTCCTGGACCTAGTGTCACCTTGCTCAGGATCTCATTGGCTTAGGAGGATGTACTGATGGCAGAGGACATTCAGAGGAAAGGGAATGTTTTCTTCTTTTACGGCAATCTGGGGTATACCAATCCTCCATTTTTACTTTTGCATTTCAGATATAACATTTTTAAGTAGCAAGTTTTTCTATACTTGACCCAAATTATGTTATTTTAAACTATTTCAAACTTAAAAAAAAAGTATGTGTGAGAGAGAGAGAGAGGAAGAGAGAGGTGTTGTTGACAGAATCTCACTCTTGCTATCCTCTTCCCGTGCTGCCAGTTAGCTAGGACTATAGGGGCATGCTACCATGCCAGCCTGTTCAGGGGGGTCTGGGATCTGAACCCAGCTCTCCCACATGGGCCTGTTTCACAGAATGTCTTATTTTACTGCTATGCCACTGTCAAGCCCTACAAATGTATTTTTCTTTGAGATAAAGTCTTGCTGGCTTGCCGAAGCTGGCTTTAAATTTGTAATGCTCCTTTTTTAGCCTCCCGAGTAGCGGAGGTTTCAGGCGTGTGCCACCACAGCTGGCAATAATTTTTTATTTAGCCTTTTTCTGCAGCATATTTAGGTATGCATACCTTGCAATACCAGTTGTACAATTCACTTAATTATAAAAAGTTTTGAAAACAATCTGCCTATGAAGGTCTGTTTTTATCCCCCAAACTCTTTGAAACAAATGACTTTTTTTTGAATGATATTTATTGATCAGTTATTGACAATTGGCTAGGGCTTATTGGTAAGTTATTTGACTAACTTTAGTTGTTGGTATTCAGGTTAATCAAACGCTTGACTAAATTTAACTAGTGCAAATCAACATGGATAAAGATGATGTAAAAAACCAAAGAAGGGAACTGGAATGTGTGAGACATCTGAGAAAGTTCTGGTACCAACTAAGATGGAAAAATTCATACTGGGTTTGAGACTAAAGCGGTGAACTCTGGCTCTGGAATTGCTTTTGAAATGGAATAGTTTCCAAAAACAAATTGTGATCTTCATTTCTTTTATTGCCACTTATTTGTTTTTCACAGGCAGAAAGAATGAAGCGACTTTGGTTCATACTTTGCTGCCTGTCTTTGATAAAAGCCCACTCCACTGCATGTATAACGAAAGAAATATAAACGGAAGGAAAGAAGCCCAGTAGTGTTTTTCCACGTCACCTTCACTGGATGTGCAAGCTTTGGAGCCAGATTGTTAGAATATAAATACCAGCTGGTCTAGTCGCTCCGTGTGTGACTTTGGACACGTTGTTTAAATTCTTCATAATTCAGTTTCTCCATTTGCAAAATGGAGTTGTTAATGGAGCCCATTTTATACGGTCATTTTTTAGCATAAAGTATGACAATACATCTAAGGTATTTATAATAGTACCTGGCCTGTAGCAGAAGCTCAATAAAGACTAGCTACTATTACTTTTTAACAGCCACAGGAGAGAGGCCTGCCAATGTGTGACAGTATTTCCATAACCTTGGAGGGATAGTTAGCTGAGGTGAAAAGTGAGAACACATAGAATTAGGTTCTGCTCTCCTGAGTCATGTAAGTTTATTCGAATTTTTGGCTACTGAAAAGGACTTACTGGTGTACAGGCACAGGTGAAAGAATTCCAAAACATAAGAGAACATGCCATATCTCTTTCTCGCCTCCATTTGCTTTGCAGTGAGGACAAAACTTTAGAATCAGCAGTTGTGAAAGTCATTAATCCGGTCGAGCAGAGTGATGACGGGTTTGAACTCCAAGAATCGTCCTCTTCCCTCGTGCTGAAAGAGATTCTCCAGGAGGCTCCTGAGCTCATCACGGAGCAACTGGCTCATCTCCTCAGAGGTGAGAGATGGCTCTTTCTATTAAATACTGGAAGGCTTAATGGAGTGTCTCGATCTGCTCATGCAGAAAGAGTGCGATCCATTCTTGGGTTAACAATCCCTTTAAAGACCACGGGAAGCTTCATCAGAGAGGCAGGGAGTAAAGGGTTTGTTAAAGAGTAGCATTATTTTGAATATTAAAAATGTGCATTTAAAAATAGGCACGAAGGGCCTTCGCTGTTTCACTCGGCAAGAATATTAAATGCAACTGCTGCACCTCTGTCGGGGAGCTGGAAAAGCTCCTTTGGCCATTTTAATAGCTTCCAGAGGTGATTCTCGCCCTGAGACGGCGTACGTCTGAACCCAGCTCCACGTTCCCATGTTGAACTATCTCCTGGTACTTATACATGCTCGGTTTATATAATACTGCTGGGTGGCAAATATACCCCCTTTGTTTTGGTGATATCGTGGCAGGGCTTTTATGGTCCAATGTTGCCTTTTTCATTCCCCATCTTGTAATGCTGTACAGCGGTGATGATGTGGTTGACTGGGAGGAAGAATATCCACCACCGATGGGAGAAAAATATTCACGAATTATGTGTAGCACAAGATTATATAGATTTTTAGAGTACATTGAAAACAGAGATGTGGTCAAATCAGTTTTTTTTTTTTTTTCCCTTTTTTTGGAGAGGTTTTTGCTCGCCGGACAGGCAGAGAGAGACAGAGAGACAGAAAGAGAGAAATCACCCCCCAGGGGGATAGCCACACTGCAATCCCTTCTCCTCCATTCTCCTCTCAGGATCATGGGCACACACGCACATGCGCCCAGTGTGAGTTTAAGCCACCGGGTCCAGGACTCAAACCTCAGTCGACAACGTGAGAGTCCAGCGACATAGCCATTACGCTAACTGCTGGTCCCTGGTCAAATCAGTTTTGAAGGGAAGAGTCTTAAGGTTAGATCTGGAATAGAAGGTTATCCTAACTCCAGAGAAAAAGTAAAGAAAAGGCCTAGGGGCACCCAGAAGTAATTTGCAACTATGCTCAAAGACCTTTTATTAAAATGAGCTGGGAGAAGGAAGAAGGAGAAAGCCGGCATGTAGACTTTCAGTGTGTAAAGGGGAAATCTATCACCAGCCCTGCAGCAGCTGCAGCAGACCTTCCCCAGGACCAGCTGGTAGTCATGCACCCGACTCTGTAAGTGGACGGACTGGCTATCCTCTACACCCATCCCCTTCTGGCCACAGTGCCTTGATCCTGATGCACAGAATTCAGTGATGCAATGCTGATATTTCATTTTTAAATTATTTATCTAATTTTATTTATTATTATTATTTACTGGGCTGTTAAAAAAGTCATGACACACATGTATATATATATGTATATATATTTTTTGAGATGTTTTTGCTATAGGATGCGTGTGCTCACCAGAAAGACAGAGAGAGACAGAGAGACAGAAAGTGAGAAGTGAGAAATCACCCCCCAGGGGGGATGGCCACACCACAATCACTTCTCCATTTTCCTCTCAGGATCTTGGGTACTCATGCACTTGTGCCCAGCATGTGTTCAAGCCACTGGGACCATGACTCGAACCATGGTCAACTACGTGGGAGTCCAGCAACATAGCCATTATGCCAACTGCTAGTCCCCATGACATATTTTTCTATGCAAAAGTGCATCCTGACTTTCTGACGATCCAATAATTTGCTGTAGGGCAAGTGTGCTTATGAGAAAAAGAGAGAGAGAGAAGGAAAGTGAACAAGCGAGCCACCAAATCTGGGACTTGAACCACAGTCAGCCACGTAGGAGTCCAGTGCCTCAACCACCATGCCACCTGCTAGTCTCAATGCTGCATTCCTTAAAACCATAGCATGTTAATCTTCACAGTGACATGTGCTCTCCTCATTCTGCACTGCAAGGCCACTCTTCATCGTGAGATGCACATAACAGTGTCTGGGATATTGCAGTGTAGGCTTCTTTAAAGACCAAAGGTAACCGGGAACCAGCAGTTAGCGTAATGGCTATGTTGCTGGACTCCCATGTAGTCAACCGTGGTTCGCTTCCCGGACCCGGTGGCTTAAAACTCACGCCGGGCACGTGTGCATGAGTGCCCAAGATCCCGAGAGGAGAATGGAGGAGAAGGGATTGTGGCGTGACCATTCCCCCTGGGGGATGATTTCTCGCTTTCTGTCTCTCTGTCTCTGTCTGGTGAGCGCACGCACCCTATAGCGAAAAAACCTCTCCAAAAAAAAAAAAAGACCAAAGGTAACTGAATGTGTTTTTTTTTAAATGAGTACAACTCTAGCATCCTGAAGTTCTAGTTATAAAAATGTATTTGTTCTTTGTATGAGGGACAGTCCTTTTTCAAATATCTAAGTCTTTTCGGAAGTGGTGGAAATTGGCACTAGGGATACTTTTCAATCTAGAGTGACACTTAGCACACCCCAAGATAAATTGCAGAACATTATTTAGTTGCATTTATAAATGAGAGTTAAATGGAACTGTCCAAGCCATTTTATAGTTATTATTTGCAGTATAACTTAATTAAGTGCTTCTACAAGGTATTCCTTCAGTACAGTATATCTATATCTATATCTATATCTATCTATATATATATATGTAGTTTGCTGTCCATGATGAACAAAACAATGAGTATTTATCTTGAGCTTCTTTGAATAATTAGGGTAAGATGCAGTGCCCATGTCTTTCTTCCTTTTTTTTTTTTATTTTAAGGTTTTTGACATAGGGCATGTGCACTCACTGGAGAGAGACAGAGAGAGACAGTGGAAGAGAAATTGAGGAATCATCCCCCCGCCTCCCGAGGGGATGCCCATGCCACAGTCTCTTCTCTATTCTTCTCCTGAGATTCTGGGCATGGACACATATGTGCCCGACATGATTTTCAAGCTGCTGGGTCCAGGACTTAGGCCGTGGTTAGCCATGTGGGAGAGTCCAGTGCCTTAACCACTATACCACCTGCTAGCCCCCAGCACCCGTATCTTATCAGTTCACTTATCTCAGGTGCCATCCCCTTTTAGAGTGAGTCAAATGCAGAGAGTGTGAACATTAGAGGTGGTTTATTATCCTTCATCTTTCCACAGATACTTACTAATGCTTTTTTTTTTTTCTTAAGGGTTGTGGGATAGGAAAATGAAGTGTTTGCTCTTCATTTACTAAGTCATTGTAAACTCAAGTTTTTCATCCAAATAAAATTCCATTGTTTTCATGTTTTTGACAAAAAAAGTAAATTTTGTTATTTTCTGATATTCAAGTTAGTAAAAATTAGGTTAAGTAACTCTTATGTACTAGAGACTAGCAGATCTGAGGACAGCTCGAAAATGATTTGTAATTAGCTCTTCACTTGGTCGTATTTAATAGGGAACTTTAAAAGCAGATTTACCCAGGTTTATAAGATCAATTTATTTGAGAAAATAAAAAGAATTAAAAAGGGAAGGTCAAGAGTTTATTGACTCAACCCTTTTAAAAACTCTTTTCCTCTCTTCCTCTGTCTCTACCACGATTTGTCTCTACCACAATTTGGGGGATGCGGGAAGGCCCAATAGTTACATAGCTGCTGCGAAGATTTTAGAACCAATGGCTCCAGTAAACCAGGCTTAAATACTTTTCTGGTGATGAGTGTCTGTAAAGATACCCTGCAGGAAACTTTGCCCTCACCTAAACTAAGTAAGCACAGTCATTTATCTCTGTGACAGAATAGAAGAAAAATAGGGTAATTGGGAATTTCAGCAAGAGAGAAGTGTTTGATGGTGCAAATGTGTAATTTGGCAAGCAGTAGAAAATATTATTTATTTTTAGTGGTCTATTCCATGATTGAGACAAAGAGAATATATCCCTAACAGGGTTTTTTTGTTTCCTCGTTTTTTTAAGAGAAATTTTTACTATAAGGCATGTATACTCTCCAGACAGAGGCAGAGAGGCAGAAAGTGAGAAATCACTCCTGGGGGGAATGGCCATGCCACAGTGCCTTCTCCTCCATTCTTCTCTTGGGATTTTGGGCATGCACACGCATATACCAGGTGTGAATTTTAAACCACCAGGCGTGGGACTTGAACCACAGTTGGCCATGTGGGAGTCCAGAGACATAACCATTACGCCATTTGCTGGTTCCCCTAATAGGGTATCCTCTAATACCATCTACCTTCAACCTCAGCCAGCCCAGATCATGTGCACACATGTGCTCAGTGTACTCAGGGAGGTCTCTGTACGTGAACCCAGAACCTTCCCCTTAAGGGTTGTGGGATAGGAAAATGAAGTGTTTGCTCTTCATTTACTAAGTCATTGTAAACTCAAGTTTTTCATCCAAATAAAATTCCATTGTTTTCATGTTTTTGACAAAAAAAGTAAATTTTGTTATTTTCTGATATTCAAGTTAGTAAAAATTAGGTTAAGTAACTCTTATGTACTAGAGACTAGCAGATCTGAGGACAGCTCGAAAATGATTTGTAATTAGCTCTTCACTTGGTCGTATTTAATAGGGAACTTTAAAAGCAGATTTACCCAGGTTTATAAGATCAATTTATTTGAGAAAATAAAAAGAATTAAAAAGGGAAGGTCAAGAGTTTATTGACTCAACCCTTTTAAAAACTCTTTTCCTCTCTTCCTCTGTCTCTACCACGATTTGTCTCTACCACAATTTGGGGGATGCGGGAAGGCCCAATAGTTACATAGCTGCTGCGAAGATTTTAGAACCAATGGCTCCAGTAAACCAGGCTTAAATACTTTTCTGGTGATGAGTGTCTGTAAAGATGCCCTGCAGGAAACTTTGCCCTCACCTAAACTAAGTAAGCACAGTCATTTATCTCTGTGACAGAATAGAAGAAAAATAGGGTAATTGGGAATTTCAGCAAGAGAGAAGTGTTTGATGGTGCAAATGTGTAATTTGGCAAGCAGTAGAAAATATTATTTATTTTTAGTGGTCTATTCCATGATTGAGACAAAGAGAATATATCCCTAACAGGGTTTTTTTGTTTCCTCGTTTTTTTAAGAGAAATTTTTACTATAAGG